GTCTTTGTGTTTATTTTCCTCTCGCACATTCAATGTATTTAAAGGATATATTGTCTTTCTGCTTCACTGGGATACGGAGGGGCCCAGTGCAAGTTTTAATGAGAGGTCCCGCTCCCGGCGCCCAGAGGAGAATTATCTCCCGGGCGGGATATCTTTCTTTCTCTCCTTAGGTGGCAGGAGGCAGTGTTTTGCAGCTTTCGGAAATCCCATTTCTCCCTAATGATTTTCAGGAGGAAACCGAGGTGACATTCCGTGGTAGGGCCTTGGCAACTTTTCCTCCTCCCCTCGTTTGGGCGTTTTCAGAGGAGAGAGGCAGCAAGCAGTTCGGGGCTCCGAGTTCACCGTCACTGCCAGGATGGCGGGGCCCGTCCACCAGGGACTCAGTTTTTTGCACAAACCCGCTCGCTCAGGGCACTGCACTTCGGAACGAGTTTTCTCAGAAACGGTCTTCCCGGCTTGGGAACGGTTTCCTCCGAAGAGCCACAGCCGTGGGGCTTATTTGCTTAATATTTTAACCAAGTGAATTACATGGGGGGGGAGGGGGGACCTCGGGGAGGGGGGCAAGAAGGTGGGTGGGGGAGACCCCATAAACAAGGTGATATATAATATTTTTTTTTGTTCTCCTTTTAAATAAATACCGATCAGCTTTATGTTCGGAGACAATAGGAGCCGTTGGCTTAAATTTGCAGTTTACTGTATTTATGGCTGTAATATCAAGGTGCTGCCGTCGTAATTTCATGCCCCAATGAGAAGAGCAAGGTCGAAGCAAATGCTTCCATTGCATCTGTTAACACACTAACTCATAAACAAGGCCCGGCTGGATCAGGTGGCACGGAATAATACAGGCTAATGAAATACAGCACAGCTTTCCATTACTGTTAGTTTTTACAGTGTCGTCATTACGTGTAATTTATGTTTAAAAAATTCAATTTTATACAAGGCACCGGGAAATAGGGGTCTGCAGGTCACCCGGCGACTTTCAGAGGCTCCAGACTCTTGTAGACCACGGGCCCCACGAAATGTTAATACACTCGAGCAAAAAGACTTTCCTTTCCTTTTCTTTTTTTTTTTTTCTTTCCCTTCTTTTGGCCTTTCTCTGCCCCTCCCCTTTGCCAGGAGAGTTGATCTTTTTTTTTCCTTTTAATTCGGGGAAGACGTCTAGCCTGGCAGTTTCCTTTGCTCCCTGCGCACCCGGTGGTCCCCGGGAGAACAGACCCCGCCCGGACCCTGGAGAGTCACCGGGCTGGCAGGCGGGAGCAGAGGGTGCCCAAGAACTGCCCCCCTTGGCCGCCACCCCAGCCAGCCCAGTCCCCCAGACTCCGTGTCCGTTCCTAAGCTCCAGTGGGCTGGAGGGGCGGCCAGGCCTGTGTGTGTGGCGGCGGTTTCGCTGGTGCCCAGACTGCCCAACGAGGCCAAGGCCAGTGGCCGCCAGAGCCCGGACAGGTGCCCGGTGCGGCTTGTACTGAAAAACCCCCACTGCCCTTCTGTCAGTTTGTCCGTCCAGCCCTCAGAGGCCGGTTGGGCAGTCCTGTTCCTGTTTGCCCCCTAGTCCTGGGAAGGGCTCTGTGCGGGTGGGTTTTTGTCTGTGTTTTCCCCATAAAATTCTTAGAAAAAGGCCACAAAGGTGGGTCTCCAGGGGCTGCACTGGGGGAGGTGTGGACCCCCCCACACACACCTGGGGCCGCCGGGCACAGCTGCCGCCCAGTCACACTCTTCGGGTCAGGTCAGGTGTGGCTTCCCTCGGGCCCTGCTGGGTGGGGACCCCACCCCACCCCACCCCAAGTGTTGGACAGAAACTTGGGTACAGTTCCCGTCATGGCGCCTCCTAAGGGGAACCGGGCTGGGGGGGCCAGGCAGCCGGAGAGCTGGGGGGGATGGGAGCAGAGTGGACAGGAGAGAAGCAGGGTGCCCAGCAGCCAGGGGCCGCCCTCACTGCAGGGGGGCTGCCTGCCTCGGGCCGCCCCTAGTCCTGTCCCCTTCCCGGCCAGCTCTCGCCAGGACCGCGAGGCTGCGGGATCCCGTGTGGCCGTCTCACCCCGGGAAGAGAATCCTCGCCTTGCTCCGGAGCGGCCCGTACTTCCGACGGCGGCGGCAGCCCTGGTGGGTGGGGGAGGAGGGCGGCCAGCCAGGGGACGTTGACCCTGACCTCCCCCCCTGCACCGCCCAGCCTGCGCGCGGTCCCTCACTGCTAGATTATTCCTCCCAGATAGCAATCAACTGGAAGGAAGTGTGTGTGTCTAATTTGCATGAGATTATTTAAAACAAACCAAAAAAAAAAAAAAAAAGGTCTGCATTAGTCAGGGTGATGGTAAACAACGTGTAGATGCCTTTTATAATATAGCCCCAGCACTGGAGCCAAATATAATTCACTTACAATCGGCACCTTGCTTGCTCATTCCTTTTAACCTTTTGGAGTCTGCAAGGTCTCGGCTTGTGTTCCCGGCGTCGCGGTCTGCCAGCGTGTGTGCGTGGTGGCCTGGGGGGCGGCAGGACCTTGCCCCCAGGCCGGGCCGCTTCTGCCCAGGGACCTGGGAGGTTGGTCGTGCCCACAAGCACCGCACACGAAGCCCTGGCAGTTTTCTTATCTGTCTCTCATCTCCTGGGCTCTGGTGGGGGGTGGTTGGGGGGTTTGAGGGTGTCTCCCAGGGCTCACCCGGGGTGGCATCGAGGGTCCCATGTGACAGCGGGGTGCCCCCTGGTCAATGGTGCTTGACTCTTGGCTGTGGATGGGGAAGGCATTTTCGTTCGTTCCTCAACCTCTTCTGCAGACTGGGGACTTTTCTGGAATCTGCTGACATCCAGAGCTTCGTGCCCAGGCAGGGGTCAGGCCTCAGGGGTCACAGCCCCGCCACCCTCCTGGGCCTCAGTTTCTGCTCAACGTGGCTGGTGGCAGGGATAATGGTCTCTGAAATCCTATTATTTAAGGAGATCATTTAAATGTTTACTTTTTTTTTTTGAAAGGAAGAAAATGATTCATTTCACGTAACTAAATCAAAAGCTGACCCGTGCGGAGAAGCATGGATATCAGAGTTCCAGCCAGTGTAAATTTAGAGCATCAGATGATACGGTTTCCGAGTGGCCGGCTCGGGAGGCGACGCAGGCGCCCTCTTCTGCGGCGGCCCGGCCGTGGGCTCGCGGCAATAATGCGGGAACGTGTTTTATTAGGAAAATCAGCCTTGCCCGAGCCCAGGGCCAGAGGGCAGTGCACCAGGCGGGCGGCCTGTCCCTTTAAGCAGCCCCCACGCAGGCCGACGGCCCAGCCTGTAACTTACTGTATATCTCCCCAGCGTTAGGCATTCGTGCACTTGTTTATATTTGAAAGAGCCAAAAGGGAGAATGAGAGGCCGCTGAATGCTCCTTTTGGGAAAATTCTCCTCATCTGCAGCCGGCGGCTGACGAGGCACCAAACCGTCGCTTGCAGAATCCCGCGGCGTCCCAGTGACCAGCCGCCAGTGCTGAGGCCCGTCGTCGTCATCGTCGTCGTCGTCGTCGTTGTCCACTCCAGCTGCATTCTGCAGGAGCTCTGCGTGGGTTGGAGGGGGGACGGGTCACTACCCCAGCTGGTGCCCCAGCGACCCGCGCTCTCCCCGTCCTTGGCTCGCCGGGTCTCTGCTCACACTTGGCATGTGTGATGGCGCCCGGGCACCCAAGCCCACCCGCATGGTGCCGCCCGGAGCCTGGTCTGCCCAGGACCAGCCCGTGGGCTCGGACCTCGCGGAGCTACGGAGGGAACCGCCTCCGTGGACGTTGTCCAGATACCAGCTGTCGGGCGAGGGGACGGAAGGGTCCCCTGGCGGGCGGGCAGGCAGGCAGGCAGGCGGGCGTCAGCAGGAGCACAACCCTCCAGCTCCCTCACTCGGCCCTGCGGCCAGCCACGCTCACTCTCACTCTACACGCTCAGGTCATTAGCACGCATCTATTGGCCCCGGGGCTCGGAAGACGCTGATCCTCAAACCTCCAAGTGCTTCATCCTCCCCCAGGGGCGGACAGACGCTGCGTGGTGCTGGGCCAACACGGGGGATTCCTCGAGCCTCCCACCCGTCGCCAGGTCACACAGAACTCAGTGCCTGTTCTGGCCTCGGGGGCAAAGTTCTTCACCCGGGGGCCACACCTCGGTCCTATTCTTGGGCTCGATTGTCAGGCACTGACTTGGTGTCCCGGCTGCCCCCACCCCGGGGAAAAGGTCCCAGCTGTGGACCAGCCGGACACGTGCCTCCACACTTGCCTTTTATTCCCCGTGGGCAAACCCCCTCCACGGGCGGGGGCCTCTGCAGACACGCCACAATCTCCCCATGTCCCCCTGCACTGCGCGTGTCATTGAGGGCGTTGGGAGGAGTTCGAGTTGCCCAAGAAGCCGCTAGCCACAGGCGCCCGCCCGCGCCGCTGAGAGCCCGCAATCATCATTGGAAAGTTTGGGCCCGGCCTCGTCGTGATGTTTTCTTGTTTTATTTTCTCCTTTACATTCCATATCCCATTCATACTAATCACAGTCAGGCCTGATTTTTCTTTTTATTTCTGCATTTGTCATAAAATAAAGCAAATTATTCCCGTCTTCGGAAACGATCTAGACTAATTAGTCGTCTCACCCAATAATTAGTTTTTTGTTTCCCTGTCTGTTTTCATGCATTATTGTTAGTTTTTTCCCCTCTTTTTTTAACACCATTACGGATTAAAATGAGCCACATTTGCAGTTGATGGTATCTGTTTTCGGGGAAGAATGGAGAATTGCAGTACGGAGCGACTTCAAAAGCAGCAATAAACTCAAGGATAAATTAAGGAAATTGAATGAGCCACATTTGGAAGCAGTGTTGAGGCTAATATTCTGTCGCTTAAGGTTAAATTGCAGCTGAGAGAGGTTCCGGAGAATCCGAAATCGGGGAGGCAGCCGGCAGGCAGGCTGCGGTGCGCGCGCGGCTCTGGCTCCGTGGGGCGCTGCCCGGGGCCCGGCCACGTGCGCGGTGGCCAAAGCCCCTCACCCCGACTCTGTCCTCTGTCCCCAGGGCTGACGGATGAAGAGGTGGACCTGGCCTTCCAGCAGTCGGGCACGGCCGCCGAGGACCCTGTTCCCGTGGGCCCGGTCACACACGTGGTCCCCCTTCAGCCCCCGCACCTGCACAGTAAGTCATACCCGACCCCTGCCCGACTCACCTTGCCCGTCTCGGGGTCCGCACGGCCGAGAGGGGGGCCAGGAGCTAACACAGGCACAGGGAGTGTGTGTGTGTGGGGGGGGGCCAGTTTCCAGGAACAAACCTGAGCCGCATCCAAGGCCTCGACTCCTTCGACTCTTAAGTCAGTGACAAGCGGCTTAAGAAGCGACGAGAAGAAATGAGTTTATTGGGCCGTTTCGCATACCAGGGCTCTGGGCAGGATCTGCCCTGTTCCACTGCTGGGAACTTGTGAGCCCGGTCTGTTCACGTTTGCTCCCTGAAAATAACCTGGCCTCCGAATCTTATTTTTACTTATTTGATTTTCTGGGGAGAGAGAGAGAAAGGGTTTGGGCCACACCTGCTGGTGCCCAGGGCTTCCTCCTGGCTCTGCACTCAGGAATCGCTCCTAGCGGGGCTCCGGGTCCTGTGTGGTGCCGGAAATCGAACACCCTTCAAGGCAAGATCCTTCCCCACTGGCTCCTGATTTGATTGATTGATTGATTGATTGATTTGGTTTTGGGGCCACACCCGGCAGTACTCAGGGCTTACTCCTGACTCTGCACTCAGGAATCCCTCCTGGTGGTGCTCGGGGGACCATATGGGATGCCAGGGATCGAACTCAGGCTGGCCTTGTGCAAGGCAAGTGCCTTACCCACCAGCCCCTCCTAATTTTATTTTTAAAAAACAAACAGGAGTAGAGTCGGGGGTCTCCTCCCTTTCCTCTGTGTTCCCTCCCCTTCCTTCTGATCCGGGCGATATCATATGTGTTTATAAAGTGTTTGTCAGTCTCAGAGAGTTCAAGATAAAAGTATAAATGTTCCCTTTGAATATTGCTTTGTATTATTCCACAAGACGATGATCCACAGGAGTTTCTAACCAGACACTCCGGAAGAATGGTTCTTAAATTTAGCGCTATCTGCGCACCTCCAAATTACAACCAGGCCCCTTCCGTAAATCACTTAGGAAAAGTCTTGTGGACTTAAAAGTAGACTCCATATCTGCAAAACAACTCGTGTTGTTTCTTTAATGGATCTCAGCCCGAGATCTTTCTTTCAAAGTGCCTTTTCTCTTTTTTTTGGTCTTCATTTTGTCTGTCTCCAGAGTCCTTTCCTGTCCCCCCCCACCCCCCCCACACACACATACTTGAGAAGAGAGTATTCTAGAGCAGATTTGAAAAGGCGCAATTTATTTAGTTTGTTTCTGGGCCATACCCGGCAATGCTCAGGGGTTGCTCCTGGCTCAGCACCCAGGAATCACTCTTGGCCGTGCTCAGGGGACCATATGGGATGCTGGGAATCGAACCCGGGTCGGCCGCATGCAAGGCAAACGCCCTACCGCTGTGCTATCGCTCTGGCCCCTGGCAGTTTAGAACATCTCCTCGGTGTGACCACCCCCTCCCCCTCCCCTCCCCCCCACCCCCCCACCCCAGGCCGGAGCTGCCCTTTCACCCTCCTCTCTGACCTCCACCCCCAGCCCTGCTGAGTGAGAGTGAGCCGGAGCTGCCGGCCCCGTGTTTGGGCTGAGTGGAGAAGGAGAGGGAGAGTGTGAGGGGCCGGGGCACCCCCCTGCCAAGTCGCTGTAGCCCCATTTTCTCCCGCGGGCCTCCCATGGCCCAGAGCACGGGCCCGTGTCCCGGGTGACCGCAGTGGCGGGCTGCAGAGAGCCGTGGCCAGGTGGAGCCCTCTCCTCTGCCACCAGCTTTCTCAAGCAGGCCAGGGACCTGCTTCCCGTGTTGTCCTCTGACCCAAGGCCCCGCACCTACCTGGTCTGTGCTGGCTGGGTTGGCGGCAGGAGCCTCTGAGCTGCCTGTCCGTTCAGTTCCGCCTTGGCTCTGGGGCTTCCTTCGAGGCTGGTCTCCTGACATCCCAGAAACTTCTTGCTCAGGACAAATCGTTCTGGCTGGGGACAAGGCTCCCCAGGAACTCCCATCTCGGGCACAAAGGGTTAAGCGGCCAGTCTCTCCCAAGGCGTCTGGGGATGCGGGAGGGTCTCTCGGGTTCCTGCAGATTTCTGGAGCAAGGGCATTTCCACATGGATGTATTTAGGGGGTCTCCCAGCCCTTCCCGGAGACGGGCTTTTTGCCGCGTGCAGGAAAAACATGATGAAGGAATCTTATTTTTTAGTTTGGGGGCCATACCCAGTGATGCTCAAGGGTTCCTCCTGGCTCTGCACACAGGAATCCCTCCTGGCGGTGCTCAGGGGGACGCTCTGGGGTTTCAGGGATTGAACCCGGGTCACCCGCAAGCCAGGCAAACGCCCCTCCCCGCTGTCATATTGCTCTGGCTCCAGTGAGGGGAATGTTAATACCTGCAGCTTCCTATTGTCACCGTTGGTTCCCAGCTTCTCACCCGTTCTGCGGGGGCCAACGCTACCTCTCACTTCTGTACTTTTGCCAAGAGGTGTCAAAACTGCTCCAAAAAAAAAAAAAAGCTTGATTTTGATTAATATAGAGAAACAAGACTTTGCCTGACTGATAATAAAACTGATAAATGACATTTGAATTACTTGTAGCGGTAATTTATTACATAAAATATCTTTTATTTGACATGCGATTAGTTGCTAGAAGCATCACTCAATCTGACTAGTTTAAACATGCTCTAAAATGAACCCAGTAAAAACCCGGGCTGTCTGCTGCTGGCGTTATGAAATATACTAATCCGGGTGCCGGGAGGAAATCTGACTTTAAATATTTAAATGATTAATTGGGTTTATATATTTTTTTTACCTTTCTAACCCCCTTAATTACAAGCAAACTCAGGGGAGTTTCTGAACTAGGTGTGCAGTCTGCACGCCTATCAGCGGGGCATTGTCTGCGTCCATGCGCGATTTATGGCTCGGGGAGCTGCCGCGTACGCACAGCCGCGGCCCAGCCCGGCCGACCGGAGCCCACGCCGGGGAGACGGGGGGTCCTCCCACCTCTGGGCCCCTGTCCGCGGGGGGCTGCTCTGCTGAGCGCCCACGGAACCCCGAGCGCGGGGCTGTCCCCCTCAGGCTTGGTGGCCGTGCTCGTCCCCGCGGGGTGAGCGCCCGTCTCGCCGCGTGAGGCTGGGTGCGTTAGGGCCCCGCTCGCACTCGGGGTGAGCCTGAGCTTTCTGACTCCCGGGCTGTCGGGGAGAGAGAGCAGCAGCTCGAAAGGAAAAAAAAGGATCATAATAAGAGACATTGTGATTTAATGCCAAAACTTAATTATACAGACAAGAAATTCCCCCAAGAATTCAGAAAAGAGGAAAATTCTGTGGGCTCGAGGAGTGGGGGGCGGCTTTGTGCTGGGGGGGGAGGTGACAGCCGGAAGGATGACGTGGGGTGACAGGAGACCTGAGCGCCCAGGCCTGGCATGAAAGTCAGGGGCGCGGTGGGAGACAGCCTCTCCCGCCCCCACTTGCGTCGCTCTCTGCTCACCGCAGAGGCCTTGCGCGCGTGGAATGCGTGTGTCTGTGTGCCTGTCTGTGTGTGTGCACGTCTGTGCTCACTTTTGTGTGCATGTGCCTGTGTGTGTGTCTGTGTGCTTGTGCCTGTATATGTGAGTGTCTGTGTGTGAATCTGTATGTGTGCACCTGTCTGTGTGTACAAGGGTCTGTGTGTGCATGTGGCTGTGAGCTCGTGGCTGTGAGCTCGTGGCTGTATTTGCTTGTGTCTAGGTGCACATGTCTGTGTGCATGTGTCTGTGTGCTCGTGTTTGTGTGCCTGTGTCTGTGTGTGCGTGTCTGTGCACATGTCTGTGTGCATGTGACTCTATGTACTTGTGCATATATCTGTGTGCATGTGACTGTACATGTGTCTGTGTGTGCACAGTGTGCCTGTGTGTGCGTGTCTGTGCACATATCTGTGTGCACGTGACTATGTGTACATGTCTGTGTGCATGTGACTTTACAGGTGACTGTGTGTGTACATGTCCGTGTGCGTGTATCTCTGTGCATGTGTCTGTGTGTGCGTGTCTGTATGTGTGCATGTCTCTGTGTGCATGTGCTTGTGCATGCTGGCATGTGCCTCTGTTCATGCTTATGTGTGCACGCGTGTTTGCGTGTGCGTGTGTGTGTAGGCCCATGAACATACACGTAGTGGCTGCCGGTCCCAGCTTGAGCGGATTTTTGCTGAGTCCTCCCGGGCGGGAAGCCCTCCTCCCCCTGGGGAGTGGCGGTGGGATCTGGGCACAAGCCCGTGTCCTCTTAGGCCCCACGTCCCCACACTGCTGGGAGTGACAGACTGGCCTGTCCTGGGCAGCATCCCTGGAGAGCCTCCTGTGACCTGTCCACATCTCCGATTGCTGCTGCACGGCTGGCGCTGTAGGGGACCCAGGGGAGGCCGGGGGCATCTCTGAACTGCCCCTTGCTTTGTCCTGTGGGGGGGGGCAGTTGTGGGTTCTCTGGGCGGGGCTTGGGGTGGCACTGATGAGAGCAAGTGCCTCTCTAGAACTGGGAAGGAGGTCGCGGACCCTCCTGCAGGGTCAGAGTGAGCACTGCAGGCTGAGGCAAAGGTGTGTGATGTGAAACAGGCCCAGCAGGAGAGGAGGCCAGCAGGGGGACCACGGCAGGGGCAATGTGTCACTGCAGACCATGCCCCAGACACAACCCAGCTCCTGCACTGGCCCCCTCCCCCCCACACACACATACACATTCACCCCAGCTCATGCACCAACCCTCTGTGCAGATGTGAGTCTTTCGAGCAGAGTCTGAGGCTGGGCCTGGCTGGTGTCCGAGGTGCATTTGTGGGCTGAGTGGTGAGAGGCCTAGCCAGACCTTTGCTGGGGTCACTGGACCCTGCAGTCTGGCCTGAGTCGCTGAGTGCCGGGCATGGCCTGCAGGAGGCTCCACACAGTGACAGCCCAGGCCCGGTGCGCACCGCAGGGGGTCTTGGAACGGAAGAGGATGTGGCGGTGGGAGCCGGCGAGGAGAGACCTCGGCTGTGTGGTTGGGGCAGCCTTGTCCGTCCCAGAGAGGCGGGGCTGACTCTGGAGTTCCGGTCACTGCAGTGCCGGGGACCCTCTGCCTGGGCTCCCCTTTGGCTCAGGGGAGCAGCTTCCAGCCAGCCCCGTCCCAGCCCTGCTGTGCTTCCTCAGGACAGCCCATGTGGACAGCCCAGTTGGGGGCACTGTGGGGAGGAGCGAGAGCCTTGGGCATGGTGGGAGCTGGCCCCTGGCCTAGGGGAACACCCAGAGGACTATGGCCCATCCCCCAGAGTCTGGGCACTCCCGCCACTAAAGGCCTTGCTGGCCTTGCCGTGATGGGCCCAGGGCACTTGCATGTGGCCCCAGCCCTGGCTACAGCCCAGCACCCACAGTTGAGGCCGCATAAACCTAGATTCAGGGTTAGGGACACTTCTGCAGGGAAGGGCCCTCGGGGCCAGAGTCAGGCCTGGACCGTGGAGCCGCTGGAGGCCGCAGTCCTGGGTTTGCCGGCATTTTCGGAAATTGGTTTTGTTGTCCTTGACACAAGAAAACAGAATGCAGAGTGTCTGCATAGTTGTAGGTTTGCAGTTGGGCTCGGGTGCTGCCTCCTGGCCACCGGCGTGGGGCCCAGCCGAGTGTGTGCAGGGGTCTGCACGGGGCCCAAGAGGTCAGGTAGCACTGTTGATGCCCAGGGCCTTGCTCCGTATTCCCCTGGCCATGTGTCCCCAGGGCCTGTGCAGTACTCGGGGCCATCCTGGGCCCATGCTTGGAGCCTCACTGGCCCTTACTGTTTTCTCCTTCCCACTGATTACTTACTTTTTTTTTTTTTTTTTTTTTTGGACCACACATGGGGATGCTCAGGGCTTACTCCTGGCCCTGCAGTCAGGAATTATTCATGGTGGGCTGAAGAGACCGTACGGGGTGCCAGGGTCGAACCCGGGTCAGCCGCTTATAAGGCAGACGCCCTCCCGTCTGTCCTATCGCTCCTGCCCCTTTTCCTTTTTTTCTTTCTTTCGTGTGTGTGTGTGTGTGTGTGTGTGTGTAAATTTTATTGCAATTTCCCCATTCTGTCGACACACACAGCACACAATTTGGGGTTGTGGCTTCCCATCCCTAGCACTAAAGTTCCAGAGTCGGACCCCACCCCACAGAGACCCCTCTGCTCAACCCCCCTGCCAGCAGTTATTTGGGGGGTGGGGGTGTCATGCCCAGCAGTGGTGTTCAGGACTTATTCCTGGCCCTGCACTCAGGGGACCAGATGGGATGCTGGGACCAGTCCCGGGTCTGGCGCCTGCATGGCGAGCGCCCTGCCCCCTGCTCTGTCTTCCTAGGGAGATGGACCAGGGGCCTGCGTCCAGGCCAGACCCTTACCTGCCTACCTGCAGCTCAGCTAGCACCACCTGGACTGCCCCAGGCCCCCGTGCCAGCCCAGGCTCAGTGTGGGGTCCAGCAGCTCGAGGCCGGGCCCATGTGCCTGCTCTGGGCCCCGAAGTCAAGACTGTGAGGCCCAGACGGTGGCCGTGCAGGAGCGTGGGGGCGGCCCAGGACTGGGCTGGCAGCTGTCGGCTCTGTCGGGTGGGTCTGGGGATGCTGGCGGGGACCACGGGGCAACTCCCGGGGCCTGCAGTCGTGTCTGAGCCGGGCAGGAGAGGCCCCTTTGCACCTGGTGCCCGGGAAACGCTGGCCCCCGACGGCCTTCCCAGGGCACCATGCGCGGCTGGGGGCTGAGCCGGGTGGACAGAAGGGCAGACGGGAGTGTCCTCGCCGCCCCGGCTGGCACCGCTGGATCCAGGCCGTGGGAAGTTACCTTCATCTCAGCGTCTCTTCTTTCACTTTGCCACGAGACAGAATTGAATCACACATCTCCGAAACGAGTGAAATGGCATTTCAGCCCCTTGTCTTTATAGACTCTCTGAACTTTCGGAAAGATCATTCCAGTCCCTTTTCATTAATAATGAAAACCAGGGGCCAATAAAATGTTCTTAGTGCGAGGCCGGCAGGAGTGGGGGCAGCGCGGGCGCGAGGCGAGGCGGCCGGGACCCACAGGTGTTTGCCACGCTCACGGAGTCAGGGCGCGGGCAGGAGGGTGTGGGCAGGAGGGCAGGGGCCTGGGCATGGGCAGAGGGTGCGGACAGGAGCTCAGATGGGGGAGCGGGCAGGGGCACGGGCAAGGGTGCGGGCAGGGGTGTGGGCAGGGGTGCAGGGAGAGGGTGCAGCAGGGGCAGGGGCAGAGGTTGCCGGCAGGGGCGCAGGCAGGGGGCGGGTAGGGGTGTGGGCAGGGGCACGGGCAGAGGTTGCGGGCAGGGGTGTGGGCTGGGGCATGGGCAGGGGTGCAGGCAGAGGGTGCAGCAGGAGCAGAGGCCATGCGCAGGGGTGAGGGCAGAGGTGTGAAAAGCGTCTCACAGCATTTGAGGTGAACCACTGGGCTGTCCAGACGTGGCATTGTCCACAGGGAAGCGTCCGGGCCCTGGTCATAGGTGTCCTGGGTGGCAGCTGTCTCCTCCAGGTGGTCAGCAGAGGGCGTTTGAGAAGTCAGCGGGGCGTGGAATGTTCTGGAGCGCGTGGTGAAACGGCACTCAAGGATCCTGGCCACGTGGCCGGCTGTTGCGGTTGAGGCGTGGCGAGACGCCAGCGGCCCGAGCACTTCCCCCAGAAGGGATGGGGGTCCGGGACCCAGGCCCAGGGCTGGGCGCGGGGGAGCCTCTGCCTGCGCCCAGGGGAGGGGCTGCTGCGGAGCTCTGCACCCCCCGGGAGCCCCAGCTTCTCCTCCGTGCCCGGAGAGGGCAGCAGGAAACCAGGGCCCAAAACTCAGGTCCCAGCAGAAAGGGAGAAGGGAGGACGGTGACACCGTGGAAAGGTGCCTGCCTCGGGCCGCCCCGGGGAGGAGGAGGGCGGAGGCTGCTTCCTTCCCGGGCACTGCCTGGGGAGGCAGGAGGGACCGGATGGAAGGACACCCATCCTCAGGCAGCAAGGCCTCCGCTGGGATTGGCAGGAATCTCGGCTGTCAGCCCCTAAGACTGGGCCGAGGCGGGAAGCCGGTGCTGCTGGCCCTGTGGTGGGAGTGACCAATGGTCCCTGGTCACACAGCTGTCCCCAGCCAGCCTCCAGATGTCCCTGCGCGTGTACCCGTGTGTACCTGGGTGCACATACCTGCATGCCTGAGTGCCTGTGTGCTCATGCCCATGTGAACCTGTGCATCACATACCTGTGAGCAGTACCTGTGTACCTATGTGTATGCGTGCCTGTGTGTGCTCACCTGCATACCTTTATGTGCCTGTGTGTGACTGTGTACCTGTGCATGCCTGTGTGCTCACCTGTGTCCCTTTGTATGTGCTCACCTGTGTCCCTGTGTGTGCTCACCTGCGTGTGCCTGTGCACGTGCCCACCCACGTGTACTTGTGTGCCCTTGTGTTCCCGTGTTCAGAGCTCTGTGTCTCATACCTCTAACATGCCTTGTGCGCCCCCACATACGCCTGTGTGTGCTGGGTGCACATACTCGCCAGGTGCAGCAGTGTGTCCGGCCGTGAGCACTGGGGCCCGAGCCAGGCAGCAGAGGGAGGAGGTGACTAGGCTAGCGTGGGGAGAGGCGGGGAGCAGGGGCGGGTCCCTTCTCTCTGTGAAGCCCTCGCCCGTGCGCATTGCTGGTCAGTCACGCCCACCGGGGCCTGTGAGCTGAGGCTGCCCGAGGGCCTCCCGCTGCTGGCTCCAGCCTGGACAGGACTCAGGGCCATGGGGCAGGAGCCTCAGTGTCCGGTTCTGCCGCGCAGGGGAGGGGCTGTCCTGTTCCCTGGCCGCCTGCACCCGCTCCTCCCACACGCCCACATCCGGCCCCCCCCACTGCTCCCCTGGGGGCATCAGAGTACCCCAGGGGCACAAGAAAAGGCCACGCTGAGCTGCACCAGCTGAGCTGCACCAGTGACCGTCACCCGCAGAGAGGGCAGCATGGTGCTCCCGCCCCTCCCCGGCCGTCCCCAGGGGACAGTCTCTGCTGCTCTCACAGAGCCCGTGGGCACTGGGGGCAGGCGTGACCCCGACTCAGGTGCAGAGTAGGGGCCTGCAGAGATACCTCCAGGCTGTGGTCCTGGCCGCTCCTTGCCCCCTAGGCGCAGGCGTGTGTGTATATGTGTGTGTGCGCGCGTGCACATGTGTGAATGTGGATGTGGGTGTGAATGTGCACGTGCACGTGTGACCGTGTGTGTGTCGTTCATTCTCGCATGCATGTATCCACGTGTCTACACACGTGCACACATGTGCGTCCGCGCACGTGTGCATGCGTGTGCTCTTGCGCGTGCATGTGCGGGGTCCCTCTGACGAGACTCTCGCCCTAGGCCCCGGGGGCTCGCGGTGGAGAGATTATGGTGCCTTGGCTATCATCATGGCAGGGATCGCCTTTGGCTTTCACCAGCTCTACAAGGTGAGTCTGCCCTCCTGCGGCTCCCCATGTCTCCCCGAGACCCAGACGCCCACCTCGAACGCGGCACGCCCACCTTCCCTGCTGGCTTGGCGCCTCGACCCTGGGCATGGGGGCGCGGAGCAGGGACACCAGAGCCCACCTCCAAGCCCAGCCTGACCTGGCCACCTTGGGCCCGTGTGGCCCCGGGCTCGGTGGCTGCACTGTGGAGTGGAGCCCAGCTGCACTGCCCCCGAGGGGCGGGGTGGGGGGCACCCGAAATGGGGCAACCGCGCGGAGGCCCCTGGTGTGGGCGAGTCATGTGGAGTCGGGGTGATGCTGGCTGTGTCCACGCACAGCTGTCACCACCCTGGGCCTCCCAGTCAACCTCAGGCCTGGGGGGATTGTGGGCATCCCCCACCTCCCCGCCCGGGCCCCCCTCCTCCCCACACAAGCGTCCCGGATGCAGCGGCTGGGTTCTGGTGGGACGGGAGTGGAAGCCCCATAGTCTTTTCTGGAAGAATGAGGCAGGTCCCGGGGCAGAGGTCAGCCTTGGCCGCAGGTCAGCCCCGCTGCTCCCACTGACGTTTGCTCAGATGGCATCAGCGGGCCCTGGACTCGCTGCTGGGCATCCGGCGTGTGACCCCGGGGTTCTCCGTTCCCAGTCGGTGCAGGAGCTGACCAGGTCCGCGGTGCTCTAGGTTCCGCCAGGGCAGACCCAGCCCGGGCTGGGGGTGTGGAGTGCAGAGGCAGATGGGTCTGGACACACACACACACACACACACACACACACACACACACACACACACCAACCCAGATGGGTCCGGACACACACACACACACACACACACACCCCAACCAACCCAGTCACCGTGCACTTCTGCCCAGACCCAGAATTCCAGAGCAGTGCCGGTGGTCCCAGCTGTGCCCACTTGGCACGTGGCTGCCTGGCACCCCCCGGGCCCTGGTGGCTGTGGTAAGCGCCCCCTTGGCCCCCTCCTCGGCATGGCCAACCCCAGCACGGACTCAGGCCCCGTTGCTGAAGGCAGTTAGACGCACTTTGTAAACTGGGCCTTGCCTCAGGGGTCCCGGGAAGCAGTGTCTCCCCAACACCCCCAGAAGTCCCTGTGGGATCCTTTCCCACAGGATGTGTTCCGGAGGGAGCAGAACCAGCTTCTGGGCTGCCCCCACCCCCTGGCCTGTGCCCGGGCCCGTCCCGGGCACTGCTCACAATCAGACAGCTCCAGCCTCAGCCTTCCCACGGCCCTCCTGAAGGAAACTTATTCTGAGGGTTCAGGCCTTTCCCGAGTGGGAGAGGCCCCTCCTGCTCTGGTTTCCCCTTCCTTCTCCCCGGCACTCCCTGGCCCCCGGCGCGGCCCTGGCCCAGGCCTGGAGAGGTGCCGGGCAGGGGTGAGGGGCGCCCCGTCTGTGCGCTCAGCTTCCTCAGCGGACCGCCAGCGCCGCCTGCCGCCGCCCGGGTGGCTGCCTTCCGGAGCATTCCGGCCACTGCACGGCTGGTCCCCCGCCTGCCCCGGCCCAGGCCCAGGGGGACGGGGAGAAAGTTGGTGGGCAGCGGGAGCGCCTGCAGGAGCCAAGCGCACCCCCTCCTTGCAGAAGTATCTGCTCCCCATCATCGTGGGCGGCCGGGAGGACAGGAAGCAGCTCGAGAGGGTGCACGCAAGCGTCGCGGAGCTGAGTGGCAGCCTCGCGCAGACAGGTAAAGATTAATGACTCCATCAAGCCGCCCTCCGAGCCTGCTCCGAGCAGCCCCGGCCCGGCCCCTCCCCGCGCCCCTCCGTCGCCACTTTATGTGGTGACTTCATTTATCTGCTCTGAGAATCTGTTCACATTTGCAAATGAAGCCGCCGTCATTTCGGTTTAATTTGAAATTGCTTGTTTACTGTCGGCGCGGCCTCAATTAATTATGTTTTTACGGAAAGGCTCCCAACCTCAGAATATTAATAAGGGGAATAAAATGACAGCCTTTCTAAGGGCTGTAAAGTTCATTTTTAATTTCTGCGTCTATGAGGTTTCTAGGGGGGTTTCCAGCACTCTCCCCCCTGCCCTCGAAGGATCCCACACGGGGTCAAGAGAGGCTGTAATCACCGCGGCTCCGGGGACCCCCGGGCCACCTCCCTGTCATCGACTCCCCGGGACGCGTTCATTACCCGCTGCCCGGTGGTGGCCCTATTAGTCGAGACCAGCGGGCGGCTCAGCTCCTGCCGAACTTGGCCGTGGGGAGGCGTCTGTACCGTCCAGGGAGGCCTGTCCCTCGGGGGCACCGATGAAGTTACCCCAACTTCCCGTGCTCCCCGGGCAGGGCCAGCCCATGACCCCTGGGGCTCGGCCGCCTGGACACAGCAGGAAGGTCAGAAGGAGCAGCGCCCCGAGGGGTCCAGAGGTTGGGAGGGGTGAGGGGGATGCAGACCCCCCGGGGGGCAGAGGGAGGGGGCGGGTGGCTGCCTCCTGCACCCCCAGACACCTGAGGCGTGGGTGAATCCGTGCACTCCGGTGCAGCTCGCGGAGACCCGCGCAGCGGAATGAGGGGACGCTGGGGGGCTGAGGGTGGGAGCCGGACAGGGCGGGGTCAGCGCAGGCCCCTGACCCCCCTCTCCGCAGTGACGCAGCTGCAGATGACGCTGGCATCCGTGCAGGAGCTGCTGCTGCAGCAGCAACAGAAGGTCCAGGAGCTGTCCCATGAGCTGGCCACGGCCAAGGTACCACCCGGACATAGTCCCCGTCCCCTGTGGTGGGGACCCTCCTAGACGGCACCCACAGGACCCCCCCTAGGCCAGGATTCACGCTGCTGGGGCCTTGCTGAGCCGCCCCTGGCCTGGGCTTCCCCTCGCCACTCCCTGCTCACTCCACAGTGCTCCTGGTCTCGGGGCAGCCCTGGGGCACTGAGGGGTCCAGAGCTCAGGGCTCAGTGACCCCCCCCCCTCTTGGGAGGAGCCGGGCATCTCCTGAGAAGAGGATCCCTGGGGAACGGCCTCCCACCCCCACAGAGCCGGGCAGGCGTATGCCCACCCCCTCCCCCGCTGACCCCCGACCCCACCACCCCGCTGTTACCTTCTGGTGGCCAGGGGCCTTTCTGGAAATCGGAAAACCATTTGCAGAAGTTTGGTTTTCAGATGAAGTGCATCCAGTGCATGTTGGGGGCGGGGGTGGGGGGGCTGCCCACCCCGCAGGCCCGCCCTCTGCACCCATGGCGGGCCCCCTCCTCCCCCTAACCCCCCCCCCCCCACCCGCTAAGCCTAAACTCCCGTGTGTGAGCGCTTCACGGGTGCCCATAAACCGGCGCTGTGTTTTCTCAGCTGCCATGAGAGTTTTTATATCTGGCTTCCAAGCGCCTACTGCAGGCCTGTAAAAAATTAAAAAGAAAGCGTGTTAAGTAATTAAAGAACCAACAGAAAACTCGGGCGGAGTGCTCGGCAACTGCTTTTTAAGGAGACTTGGCTGGAAAGCCCCAGATGTTTCGCCGGTGCCGTGGCCTGGCCTGGGGCTTGCTGGTCAGTGGGCTGCCCCGACTGGCGGGTTGGGGACACCTGGGCAAGCGGCCCCCCTCCCCTGCGTCACTGTCCCACACCCATCCGGCCCCCTCACCCCGGCTTTGCCTTCGCTGTGGCCCAGCCAGGACAGGGAGCCCCAGGGGAAGGACTCAAGAGCCGCAGGACCCCGTGGGGGGATGGGGGGCAGCGGTGGGCGTGTCGTGGGGGGACGGGAACATCCCACACCCAGAGGTGGGAGGCCGCGGTCTCCCGGGGGAGAGCGAGGGTGCGGGTGGCCCCCCTACACGCCGCCGACCCCGCTCCCCGTGACCCAGGCCACCACGTCCACCACCTGGATGCTGGAGTCGCAGAATCTCACCGAGCTCAAGTCAGAGATCACGTCGCTCAAGGGGCTGCTGCTGAACCGGTGGGTGCCCGCGGCTGCCCGTCCCCCACCCCCGGGCCCGCCCATGGTGGCGTGGGGCAGCTGGTCCCACCTGGACCTTCGTCCCACTGAGTCAGGGGGCCCAGGAGCCCTGGGTACGGGGAACCTCGGGGCGCCTGGCCCACCCTGGCCTGGCTCTGGGGGTGCAGGCCTGCTGGCCGCACCGGGGCCTGGTCACCGCTGCCCCATAGACGGTGCCCGGGACCTGGGCCCGGAGTCAGGGGTGGGGTGGGCCCGCCCAAGAACCGCCCCCAACCCCCGCCGTGTCCCGTCCCCCAGGCGGCAGTTCCCTCCATCGCCCTCGGCCCCGAAGCTGCCGTCGTGGCAGATCCCGGTGAAGTCCCCGTCGCCGCCCAGCCCCGCGGCCGGGCCGCCCCACAGCAGCAGCGACATCTCCCCGGTCAGCAACGAGTCGGCGTCCCCCGTCAAGGACGGCCACAGCCCCGAGGGCGCGGCGGCCGCCTACCGCCTGCTGGGCCCCCAGGACGAGGCCGCGGGCGCGCTGGACGTGGCGGGCCAGGTGCGCATGGAGGTGCAGGGCGAGGAGGAGGTGCGGGAGGACGACGAGGACGAGGACGTGGGCCGCGTGGACGAGGACGCCGGCCTGGGCGTGCAGCGCGAGGACCGGCGCGGGGGCGACGGGCAGATCAACGAGCAGGTGGAGAAGCTGCGGCGGCCGGAGGGCGCCAGCAACGAGCGGGACTAGCCGCGGAACCACCCCACACACACACGAGGCGTCCATCCCGCCCTCCCGGGCGTCCACCCGGCGTCCACGCCCCGGCCCCCTCGCAACCCCCTCACGGCGCGTGGGACCCAGGGGGCCTGTCTCCTGCCGGGGCGCGCCCTCCTCGCCCGTCCGCCCGGCACGCGCTGATGCCCGCCCCCCCCGCTGGCCGTGGCCCCCAGGCGGGACCTGGCTCGCCCCGTGGGCGCTGGGGTCGGGTTCGGGGCTCCCGTAGGCCCCACTGTATAGATTGTAATAAAGTCGAGCTGCCGCTGTCTGATCCCGCCTGGCCTCTCTGCTCTGGGCCCCTGCACGGGGGCGGAGGGTGGGGGGCGTCCAGCCCGGTCCCTGCGGCGGCCCCCCTGCCTGTGCCGTCCATCCCACACAGAGGGTCCGGCGGGGTGACCCGGCTCCTGTCCTGTGTTCCGGCCTGCAGAGCACGAGCTCCTTAAATGGACACGTGCTCCCAGCCGCCCCCCCCACCCCCCGCCGTTCCCTCCCGCACCCGAGCCTGTCCCCAAGCTGGGCACATGGCCGGGGCTGTGGGCAGCACTGCTGTGAGGGGGCGTGCAGGATGCCCTGCGTGTGGTCCACCCCGTCCCGCAGCCGCCTGGGCCTGGCCACGTCCACCGTGTCGACCTCTGCCCACCAGGCCCCACTGCAGCAGGTGCCTCCATCCCGGTCACCTCCACTCTGGGCAGCCCTGCAGAGGGAGGAGGCTGGTGGACAGCCGTGTGACTGTCCATGTGGCAGGCTGCCAAGCGTGCCCCCTCCCCGTCCCCCTAGCACCTGTCTGGTACTCCTGGCTGGGCTGGGCCGGGTGCTGAGGGCTGCGGGGTGCCCTGGAGCCCCTCGGCCTTCACTGGAAGAAACTGAGCCAGCTCCCACCCACCCCGTCAGTGGGGTCGTGGGGGTCCAGCCCCCAGGAGGGTGACCATCACAGGGTGGGTAGAGGGGCCCACAGGTGAGCACCCCACGCGGGGCTCGGGCGCAGGGAGAAGGGCCAGGAGCAGCCCGCGGGCCAGGCCTCACCGTGGAGCTCTGAGGACGCGCCTGGCGGGAGTTCAGGGGGGAGAAGCCCCTCCCCAGAACGGCGTGCGCACTGCCTAATAAAGGCAGCCGCCGGCCAGGGCACACGGCGCTCTGAAAAAGCCTTTCATTAGAAAAATAATGCATTTCATCCAAATAAGGTAAAAATATTTGGAATGGGGCAGAAGTGAGCAGCGGCCGGCCTGCGGAGGGAGCGCGCGTCGGTCTGCTGGTGCTGCGGGGGCGGGGGAGGGTCCTGTGCGCCCCCCAGCGGGACTGCCAGACCCGAGTGGCTCCAGGTGCTGGGGACACCCACGGATGCTCGGACCCCTGGGGGAAGGGCGACCCCTGCCCCCTTCCAGACACCGGGCACGCGCCCTGCGTCTGGGTGAGGTCGGGGCTCACCTCCGGAGCACGGCGCATGGTGCCCCTCCGTCCTCCGTGGGCTTCTCGAGGCCCCTCTCGGCCACAAGCTGCCTTCCTGCAGCCGACCCGGCCAGCCCAGCCCTGAGCCACGGCCACGGGGACTTTGCCCAACCTGCCTGTTTCTTGTCTGTTTGTTTAAAGGCGTCTCTGCCCGGCACCGCCAAGGCGCGAAGGCGCCACGGGGCCTGCTGTGGCCGTACCTGGGGGCCCTGCGGGACCCCTCGGCCTGACTGCCTCCCCCGTCCCTGCACCCAGCCACTTGGCCATCTCTGCACTGGGGTCAGGGGGCACCAGCTGGCGTGGAGTCAGCCCAGGTCACTCCCAGGGCCCCTCCGATCCCAGAGCAGCCTGGCAAGCTCAGAGCCTCCAGGGTTCCCAGAGCCCCTGCTCCCCCCAACCCACACCCCCGCCCCCAGCCTGCAAGCCTCTCCTGGGGTCTGCAGGAGCATTCTCGCAGCCGGAGGCGGGCCCTGGCTCTCCCGTTCCGAGGGTGGAGAGAAGGGGGACAGCTCTGGATGCCCGGACCCACCGCCGTCCTCTCTGAATCCCAGAGGGTTCCCTGGCCTGGTCCGTCTCTCGTCCTGGGTCTGAGCAGGGGAGCTGATCGGACAGGTGGGGGCACATGGGGGGGGCACAGGTGTTTCTGGCAACCTGGCGGCAGTGACTCAGCCGCGAGAACCCTCACGTCAGGCGTCCAGCCACTCAGTGCTAGCCCTGGAAGTTACAATACTCTTGAATCTAACCCAGTTTGGAGCAGATGCGTCACCCCACCAGAGCTAATGAAGTTCCACACTGAAAACGCGAGTCACCCATCCACGCACTTCCTGCTGAGCCCCACCCTCCCCAGGGCGGGGTGGGGCGGGGCAGGGCGGGGCGGGACTCAGTCTGGCAGCACCCCAGGTGGGGACAGGCCTTTGGCCGAAGTGAGACGCCTGGACCAGGCCGAGAGCCACTGCACTGGGCTGGACCTTGGGCAGCTTTGGGAGAAGCTGGTCCTGCCTGCCCCTGGCCACGCTGGTGGTCCCTGCCCAGCCAGGCCCCCACCCGCCAGGAGTGGGTAATTTGGAGTCCCTGCCACCAGGTGTGGTCAGCCGGGCCCCACCTGGGCCCAGAAGCCCTGGGGAAGGGTGAGGAGAGAGAAGGGGGGGGGTCTGCTGCTCCTCCTGCCCCAGGGGCCCCTGAGGACAGCCCCCCAAGGCGAGGAGCTGCTCCACCCCGTTCCTGTGGCACCCCGGGGAGCCTCGCCCTCCCGCCCACCAGCCCAGCCCGGTGCCAGCCCCACAGGAGGCTGCGAGATTCCATAATGGGTTTAATTTGTTGAACTGGTGTTTTATCCCATAAATTAGTCACTGTTTTATTTAACAGAATCGAGAGATCCACAAACAAGAGGCGAGTTCCAACTTGAACATTTTAATAAGACAGAAAAAAGCCTCCGTTTTCGCGTCTGTTACAAACATATTTATGTAAATAGCCGGTGCCCGCTTTCCAGCGGGAGAGGGGACGGCAGCGAGCCGGCTGGGCCTGCAGCAGCGCTGACAAGAACCAGGGCCTGGACGGCCCGCGTGCCACCATCCCTGCCCTCCTGCCGCCACCTGGGGGGCAGCTGAGGGCCAGCCTGGCCGTGGGAGGGGGCGTCAGAGGGGGTGCTTGGCAGTGGTGTGTTGGGACTGGTGGGCGCGTGTGCTGTGCTTCTGCGGGGTCCCTGCCAGCCCCCCACCCCGGCCCGTAAGTCCAGCTACACTGGGCCCAGGAACCGGCCTCTGGGCCAGGCCCCCCGCACTCCGGGCAGGAGCGGAGCCAGCATCCGGATGGGATCCGGGTACGTGCCGTTCCGGTCCCGGCAGGCCACTTCAGGAAGGAGGAAGGAGCCCAGGAAGCAGCAGAGGGGCCCTGCCAGGCGGCAGCAGGCCCCCGCGGGGGGTGTGGGGGGCGGGAAACCCAGACCTCCCTCAGCTCTGGTGGGGGGGGGGATCTTGCCCGCGCAGGGCGGGGCAGGGGTGCTGCACGTTGGGCCGTCCAATCTCTCCCCCACAAAGGATCCGTCCTCAGCTCTGCCTGTCCCCAGCACACCTGCACCCTGGAGAGTCAGTTCCCCCCAGCCCCGGCCCCCACATCCGATCTCCCACCCCCAGAATTTGGCTCTGATCCCTGAGCCAACCTCTGCCCCTTTCCCGGTGGGCAGCAGGTGCACGGTTGCATTTGGTGTCCCTGCCCAGCTGGGTCAGTGCCAGCCCTGGGGGGCCAATTTCCGAAAGAAAAAGGAGAATTTGATAGATTTTTTTTCCAGTTTTTATTGAGTGAAAATGTCAAACCTTGCATCAGTCATGCAAAAAAAAAATCAAATAAATAAAACACATATATTAAATTTCTAATAGCACTAAATTCAAGTGGAAAAATATTCAGTTCTTAATAACCAGGTGCCGAGGAGACCAGATTCAAGTAATCAGAGCACGCGCTGTTCAGCCCGGGTTCACGTTCTGCATTTTCCGTCTCAAACCCTCTATATATCTCTATATATCTATATATGTATATACATATAGATATATACACAAATGTGCATACGGAGTACTTTATATTTATATATATACACATACATAGTTATAAAACATTAAAAAGAGCATTGCTGGATCAAGCATTGTTTTCCCCACAGAAAGAAAATGAAACGAGAATGACACGTCCAAATTCAGAATGAGCTAGCAATGGCTTGTAGTCCTACTGTGCAATACGGGGTCACCAAGGCCAGACTTTGCTGCGCCTCTTTTTTTTTTTTTTTTAAATTTTACTCACTCTTGCTACATTGAAAACTTTTTTTCCTTTGCAAAACTCCTTCCAGACTCCCCGTTTGGGGGTGCCCAGCGGCAGCACTGGCGGCCGGGATTCAGGGGGCTCTGCACCCCGGTCCTGGCCAGCTCCGATGGTCCTGGCCTCTGGATGCGGGCAGCCAAGAGGACAAAAAATAAAAAGAAAAGAAGGAAAAGAAAGGGGAAAAAAATAGGAAAAAGAGGAAAGGAGAAGAAACCGCTGAACCTCCACCTCTGGGCACCCACCCGCCAGTGGGCTGGCCCTCGGGGGCAGGGGGCACCTCCTCCACCCACCCCCGGAACCTCGGGCCCCCGGGAAGAGAGCCTGTTTGGAAAAGGCAGGGTGTACATCCAAGAAGCATTCCAAATAATAAAACAAACTGGGAAAGAAAAAAAAAAGCCCTATAAAGCCACACGCATAACCAAGAGAGAGAAACTCAAATGTTAAATTAACTACAAACTGGTACCAACAGGAAGAGTCCTTTATGTTTGCTGTGTGTGTGTGTGTGTGTGTGTGTGTGTGTGTGTGTGTGTGTTTCTGCCTAAAAAATTCAAGTTAAAAGTTGGAATCACACAGCTCCCGTCAGCCTGGGTGAAGTCAGCCCGGCCCTGGTGGCCACTAAGGCCGCGGGGGGTCACCGCGGACCCCGTGCCAGGCGCGGCCGCACCGCTCTGCACCCCGCGAGTTTGTTCTGGGTGATGACCGCAGGACGGGGGGGAGGGGGGCGAGGGGAGGGGAATACTGCACGACTCGCCGCGACCCCCGCTCGGCCCGGCCGCTCCTCCCCTCCCCTCCCGTCCCGTCCCGTCCCGGGCAGAGGGGCGCGGGGCGCGCGCGCTCCGGGGTCCCGG